ATTCAATGAACTGCCCTCCAAGCCTTTTGTTTACAAAAGGCTTTCGGCTAATGTGGCTAGAGGCCACCATGTAATTATCCAAGTGCCACTTGCAGGTTCTGCGCTATGAAACTATGAGGTCTGCCCTCCCCACCCCGAAGGTCTAGAAGGTCTGTTCTCCAAGCAATGTGGAGACTCCCCCAAGTATCCATTCCCCCCTAATAGGAATGACCTCCAACCCACTAGCCATGGCCTCCAACCTACTACCCTACAGGCCCTACAGCGATGGCCTCCCCCCGATGGTCTCATCTAGAGAAGGGATCCCCGAAACTAATGTGTGCATGGGAGGGCTTCCCTTAGGAATCTCATCGGTGTCCCTTATAATTACCTTGAAAGAATCAAGCGCAATTCTCAAATTTTTGGGCGGGCTCACGAAAGAAGGGCTTGGTGGGAGACCCTTTGAGAATAGAGACATAACATAGTGGACAGGTAGAATAAAGTGAAGTGAATGATTTTCTCAGTGTGGTTTGTGAGTGATCCATGAATGGGCAACCGCCAAAGGCATGAATATTAGCCAACATGAGCAATTGTTCAGACCAGTCTGGAGTTACTCTATTTACAATAGGACCATAGGATGAAGGATTTATTATTTTTGAGATCAAACATTGACGGGCGGGGTGAACAAACACAAATACACGACTCAAATGGGTTCTGCAAACATGCAAACAATGCCAAAGCAGTTTTTGAAAGGCGGAGGGGTTAGAGGGTCTTGCAAACAAGCTTGGCCAAGGCCCAGTGGGCGCTCCCGCAGTTCTTCAGATTTATGGTCTCTTCAATTTGGTCTCCACCCTACTAGCGATGGTCTCATCTGGAGATGATCTCAACAAGAGATGCGTTTGAAAGTGGCACCTTTGGACGAATTTCATTCGATGGTCGCGCGCTTCTGTCTCAGTCGTGACAAAAGGTCATTGCTTCCAGCCTGTATGCCTTGCTACTAGGCGGCACGTGGAGCAGCTTGAAAATGAACTTCCTCCGTCTGTCTCCTTCGATTTTGTCTCTTTTCTTTCTGTTGTTGTTTTCTTTCTTTCTTTCTTTAGACCTTTTTTTGTTCCCCTTTCTTTTGACCTATAAGGCGACAGGAAGCTTTTTTTTAAAAGATTCTTATAAGCCTGGAAGTCTTTGAAGTTTATACCATTTCTCTCTCTCTCTCTCTCTATTTCTCTCTCGCAGAGCGCTTCGCCAGCACCACACTCTGAGAACGGAACTTGCAAAGCCCTTGGGGTTGCACTTGCTCAATGACAATGCTGCAATGCTGCTTAAAATGCAAGTGTGGCGGGCAAACCCATTTCAAGATCAGGAATCCTGCTGCCCTTGAAGCATCATCTCTGAACTTCTTGGGAGATTCTTGCTTGTCTATGTAGTAAGACTATTCCTAGAAAATGGATGACCGATGCAGTTGCCTCAGGCCCTAATTCAGTAGAAAAAGGCTAAAGGCGGCTAAAACATAAGGAAGAAAAGGTCAGGGCCCCTCTAATTAGAGGGGACTTTCTTAAAGGGAACCTTATCGTTTTGACGGGCTTCGTTTAAGCACGGGCTCTTGTTTCTTCTCTTTTTTGACTTGTCGTCTTTCTGCCGATCTGAGGTTCTGGCTCCTTTCTTCTTCGGCGGCTGCGCTGTCTTCTTCCACTTGGACTTAGCGTAACCGGCACTTGCGTGGTCTCTTCAGCTTCTTGAGGGACAGTCGGACTAAAAAGGCACGGTTCCAAACATTCCAAACACAAGCAAGAAGTAGCAGGGAAAACTAATATGTAAAAGCCTTTTTGAAGTCGTGAGTCGTGATGGTAAAAAGTAGTAACAAGAAGCTACTAGGGAGAAGATCTGTGTTACTAGTAGCGATGGCCTCCGACCTAATAGCAATGGCCTCCACCTAATAGCATCCTTGTTACTAGTAGCGATGCCAGGAGCTACGTTCGTAGCGCCCTTGTTACTCGTTTCATTGTTTTCACAGGTCAAAAGCATTTCAGCGCTCCGAGCCCAAAACAATTTGCTTTCCCTTCACCCCGTAGCCCATCCGTTCAGCCAATGTCATCTTGGGAGTCGGTTCCACCTCGTGCTCCTTGGGCTTGCAGGGCTGAGATGGCACCGCCTTTTTGCATTTTGTGGCTTCACACGGTGGCACTACAAGACATACGCAAGGTTATATATCTGGAACTTCTCTATATACAAAAGTGCCATCAAGAAAGCAGGTCATCCATCCTCGTTGTCGGACAGGTCGGCCTGGTGGGTCACCCACACACCCTGCTGTTGCAAAAAAGACGGTCTGTCGCCTGCTCCTCTTCCAATGCTAGTAGTGGCTTTGTCGGCCGGAGCTCCTTAAAGCAGCATTGCGAAGAAAAGCCGCGAAGAAGAACCACGTTGACACAAGTGCTTTGTCCTCGGACTTCCGTCGTTGCCGTGCACGTTCCACGGCTGATTCCTGATTAAATTATTGTGAATCTATTTCAAGGGCCTGCAAGACACCAAGTAAAGACTGATTTACTTTGAAGAACCGTACATTGGCAACAAAGCTATTGTGCCACCCTGCATGCTTAGGATTGGGCCATTTCCTCAACACTCCGCGCTTGACGATTGATCTGACGTGTTGTCCTGGTGAAGCTGAGATGAGCTGGAGCTGTGAATGCATGAGGGTGTCGAGCATCGTGATATGCCGATGTTTGAGTAATGCATTGGGTTTGGCTACTAGCGATGGCCTCCAACCTTATAGCTAGTTATGGCTATTGTTCGCTACCATCTTCAATATTATTTGCTTATCGTCGAAGCCGTAAACTTTCTAAACGCATGAGTGGAGTGGCCTGAAGTAGGAGAGAGCACTGGATGCTCTTTGAATTACCTCTTCCTCCGAGAGCAAGCGCAAACCTAAGTTGGGCAAAAGAGTCTGGCATAGCCCACTTTTAGGACATACCTAGGGCCCGTGCCAGCCTTTTCGCTTTTCTGTGACTTTGCTTGACCAACCAAAGATTTAGCATAGATTTGTAAGGTCGAAGCTCCCTCCCTCCACCATACCTTCAGCCTCGGGCATAGATCAAAGTTTCCAGTTGCTAGAGCTGCTGCATGAGTGTCTGCTGACACAAAACTTTAAAAAACAGTTCACACATCATGAATCATGTGCAATAAACAAGTTGCACGGCGTTGCACGGCGTTGCTTGCATCTGATCTACACAGGCTGAATGGTTTTTGTGCGCATGTCTGTTGCGCTTGTGCTGCCTGGATCTCTTGAGAGTAGCCTTGGGCAATCGGCAAACGCACGAACCAAAGGGCATCGCTACTAGCAACAAGGACGCTGCTAGGGGCTCCTGGCATTACTACTAGGAGCAAGAAGCTACTAGGAACAAAGGGCATCGCTACTAGGAGCAAGGACGCTACATACTAGGTGGAGGCCATTTCTAGTGGGAGGCCATCGCTACTATAGTAACAAGAAGCTACTCCTCTTCTTCTCCCTACTATATAGCTTGTTGTTACTAGTAGCGATGGCCACCAGAAAATAAGCATCCAAGTGGCCATCCAAGCAATCAGCCTTGTGACGATTCATCGGAGCACCTGATGCAGTCCATTTTGCTTCTCAAATTTTGCACTTCTCAAAGCTAACCTCGAGGCATATTTAGCACTTCTTGGAACTGAACTTGAAGATGGCGGCCTCAGGACCATGTCGCCAGCCATCCTGGAAAGGAAACTCTCGGCCCCATGCCCTACGTGATCATTCTAATTAAATTCTTATTGTTACTGCTAGTAAGGCACTTGTTTCTAGTAGCTTCTTGTTACTACTAGTAAGGCACCTGTTACTACTAGCGTGGCACTTGTTACTAGTAGCTCAAGTTTGTCAATTATTTTGCAAATATGCGTTCATTCATTGCAGGTCCTGGTTGAATGAGCGTGGGAGCCTCTAAAGCTGCTATCAAGGTGGCTCAAACTGGATAACATTGGATTGCTGAGTGACAAACCGAATCCCATTTCACCCGAGGATGCCTTACCTCAGCTCTTGCACAGCTAGTCAAATTATGTCAAAGTGTTTGGCATGTTGACGAAAATGGACAGCATCAGCATCAAATTCATCAAAACTGTGCAACGCCGTTAAGCTCAAAGTGCGGCCCAAATACTTGATGGCCGACGGTTCAAGTGCGCTTCGTGCACAATTGCCACCGGTGGAGGCTGACATTGTGAGTGCAGGGAATGGCCTCGGCATATCTTGTCAGCAGCTCAGTGATTTCAAACTTCGAAACTTTGTCTTCGAAGGCCTCCAACCTACTAGCCATGGCCTCCAACCTAATAGCCCATTGTCATTGATTGCACACGTTTTAGACTATGTCCCCCACAAATCAGCGCGCTCGTTGGAGACAGCGGCTCTTCCAACATGAGCAATCCGAGCTCGGGGTCTGCATAAACGTCTGCCACACCTTCCGCTGGTAGGAAGTCCACTCTCAAGCAGGTTGAACGTTTGTTTATTCAATTGGTCCAGAACGAGACAGAAACTGATGACAAAGCAAAACTAACTAACTAACACCCGATGCAAGGGAGACATCTGGCCATCCTTTGGTTGAAAAGCCACATGAAGCATCCTGTCGTGCCAGTGTTTCGGGCCTCGCAGTTTCCTCGCGTTAGGATTTTGAGCCGAGTAGCCAAGGTCCACAAAACGAAGAGCGTCACAAGTTGTTCCTTGCCTTTCTAGCCCTGATCAGCCCTGAGTCTTCTCGACCAACCCTTTGGCCACATTTGTTTCAACATCACTGAGACCCTTTGGTCTCAGGCTCTCCTGCTTTGGATTTCGGTCTGCGTTGCCCGAGTTCTGCCAAGCTAAAAATTGAGGCCACACTCTAGTGTGGCCACAATCCTCTGGAAAAGGAACGAGGCAAAGAACACACTCAGCCTACCAAACTACAGATTTCGCGCAGGAAGAGCCCAAGAAAAGCCCCAGCAACCATATGATTCAATGATTCTCCTATCCCTATGCCATAGGTCTGATTGGATCTGATTTGTCACGTGAAAACAAAGCCGCGTGCATGTATGCCGAAGTTGACCGGCAAAATACCACGCAGCCAAACTCGAGATTGCAAGCGGCTACACTCGAAGCTGCGCTTCAAGTGACATCATCTCCGCAACAATCCGCTTGCACGCTGCCAACCTTGAGGCCAACAAAGGTGTAAAGCTTGATTTGAAGTAAGAAGTTTCACTGGATTTACATTGGTAGGATAGCTGAGTTCGTTTGTTGTCGCGTGGGCAATGCGTCAGGGTTATGTTGGTTACTATGTTGGTTATGTTTGCTGCTGTCATTGTCTGACTCATTGGTTTGTTGTCGACATGATGTCCGTATGTTCGGGGTCGGGTCACTGCTGGGACACTGGCTGGCACACTGGGTCGGAGCACTGGCAGGACACCGGCGTTTATGATTGGGTTGGGCCACTGGCGGGATTTACTGTGATGCTTGGTGTTGTCATTGCTGGTGTACTTGCTTCTTGTCTGTTGTGTTGTTTGTCCTTGTGTTTGGCGTTGTCAGTGTTGTGCTTCCTTGTCTGTTGTGGTGTTATATAGTCATTGCACTGGGTAATGCAGTGATGCGCTGCACAAGCAAAGGTCACGATAGGATGGGTTGTCTATCTAGCCCCCGCAAACTAACATGGAACCTGAGAATTGACAGGTGGAAGACAATTTCCTCTGCAACCCGGTTGCGGGGAGCAAATCTAGCTGCCCTAATCCTGAGGAAAAGCCCCTTTTTCTGCAAAAGTTAGAGGCTTTAGTTTCTTTAGCTACTAGAGCAAAGGGCATCGCTACTAGGAGCAAGGACGCTACTAGGGGCTCCTGGCCTTACCTCTACTAGGAGCAAGAGGACGCTACTCGTTCCTTTACCTTTTTTGCTATGCATGTTTTTACATGTAAAACATTACATGGTCCACGACCTGAGGCAAGCACCCAACGGGGCCAAAGTTCATTTCTCCATGCCCCATGCTGGGAAACCAAAGGAGCCTCTACCAAAAACAAAGCGGAAAACATAGGAAGCTTCACCCTTAAAAGGGGCCTGACTAAACTGACCCATCCAGGATGCATTTCTGATCTTCTCATAAGTCCATCAACCATAATGACATACTATATGAAACATAATCAGCATGCGATACCATATGAGTACAGCCGTTATGGCATACTATGACATACCGTATGGCTGCTGCCTGACGTATTCGTGCCTGAATGCATCCCCACCGCGTTGCTGTATCCAACCAGTGAGGAAGCGTCGGACCTGTTCCGATGTGCTCTGCAACATGATGCCAGCAAGGTGATTGCGGAATTGTACATCAAGACTAATGTATCTGTTGTTTGCAGTTTAACACTGCCAGGGTGCGGAGTGTGCAGGCACCTCAGTGACATGTCCAATGCTGGCGCACATTCCGTAGCAAAAGCTAACCACAACCCTCACAGCTGCCAAACTCAGCAACAAGGCTCCAGCAATTGAATCCTCTCCCGAGAGCATGACCATGCAAGGTACTTGCAGCTCCTGGCTTCAACTTCAAAGCGAAGCAAAGTCAATCACTCGGACTCTAAGAATTTGCAAAGCCCCACCTCTGGCCACAGCAAATTCTGATACCAGAAAAAGTTTCGGGAAAGACTGTGCCTGCCAGGCCGAAACACAACACAAAGTCACGAGGACGAGGGAAACAAAAAAGCAAGAACAAAGACGTCTTAAGGAACCTAGAAGCGATGGCCCCTAACCTAATAGCGATGGCCTCCAACCTAAAATCAGCGGTCACGCCAGGTTAGTTCTATGTTTTGCAGCTAGGGCGCGCAATGTACAGCTCGCGGGCGACGAAGTAGTGCATGAGCAGCTGAGTGGCTGTCTGCGGCTCCCGGTACATGAAGTTGTAGCAAACCTGGCTCGAGATGTTTACTCAAGGGCATCGCTACGTTCGTAACAAGGGCATTACTACTAGTGTTACTAGTAGCTACTAGTAACTAGTAGTAGCAAGATGTAAATTAGAAAAGTGCGCACGAATCAGGCCCAACATTTCCCTAGCCTAGCAGAGCAGCAGTCGGAACTGGCTGGAGGGATGGCACGCTTAAAAACATGACTGCAGGCCGCACATTTGCCAACGAAGACAAGCAGCGCAGGCATAGAAGGTAAATACAGTGAGATAAAGAATTCGACGACCAAACTGAGTAAAATGTACACAAATACAAAGCAAAAGGAACTCTTGCATATAAGGAACGTGAACCTAAACAAGGAATCAAAAGCTCGAGAGGGGCGAAGAGAAAAGCAATGCTGCCGAGCGCAGTACAAACATTCTAGCCAAGGACTCAGAAACCTAGCAAACCATAAATGGAAAGGAGGAGGCCATCGCTAGTAATTGGGTTGGAGGCCATCGCTACTAGGAGCAAGAAGCTACTACGAGGTCTTTGAAGCTTTCTAGTAACTAGAGTAACTAGAAGCTACTAGGTGGAGGCCATCGCTAGTAGGTGGTTGTCAAAACAAAGAGACCAGGAGCCCGTAAATATCCAACATAATGGAGAATCAACTCACTGGACTGCAACTCGGTCAAGTAAAATGCCGTGTAAGAAAAACAAGGAGAAACGAGTGCCAAAAAAATTGAGACAATGGAGGCAGAGGCCGCCAAGTTCTACAAGAACAACGCATTCATCCTAGCAGTATGCCTGCATGCACACTACTCCAAAATGCGAAGGTAGAGGACATGTCACGCCCTTTGCCGACTTTGATTTTGTTGTTAGTTCCGTTTCTCTGGAAGCTGCGTAGCTGAGATCCAATCCTAAACTACAGGGTCACTGCTTGTTGCGCGGCTGGTGCATTTTCGCGAAGGCTATTATTGGAATTGTTGGATGGAAACTCAAGCCAGTTGATGTTGCTAGGGTATGATTCAGGTTGAATATGTGAAGCAAGAAAAGCATCATTCTTGCTTTAAAAAGAAGTTGGGGAGAAGTTCACCATTGCCTTCTGTAGGACAGTAGGATGACGCGTGCCCATTCTCAGCCGTCTTCTTTTCTATCCTGTTTGTGCTCGACGCCCTGCGTAGATACCACACTGGTTGAAAAGGAAAGGGACATATTTGGGTACATTGCACCTCCTCTTGAATACAAGGGTCAGGTGAAAGCTATGACGCGCAATGTCGTTTTCGATCAGAACAAAACTAGGAAATGGGGTGTCTGATGCTGGTAGCCAACTTAGAGCGCAGCATCTGGCTTGATGAGTAGAAAGCACACAGGATCAAGAAAGGTAGCGACGCTAACCTCAGCTGAAGTTTACAGAATTCACGCACAGATCCAGTCCTTAAGCCTTAAGAATTGCAGATACTTTGTGACTTGTGTGAAGTGAAATTTTGAAAAGCTGGGATCTTGGCTGTCTCCTTGGCATTTCTGCACATCCAAGCCACCACGATCGACCCAAAGGAGTGACCCACGAAATGGGCCTTGCCATGATTTTCATGTGGAAATACAACGACTACTAGCGATGGCCTCCAACCTAGCGATGGCCTATCAAAAGGGGACACCATTCGTTTTTGCTTCAAGAGGGGTCCCAAAAAAACACATGCCCAAGCAGCGAACAATATCGTGTGGGATTATTCTGCAAAATAATTTCTGCACGACTTGGGCTTGCACAAATGTGTGGTCCCAACTCAGCAGCATGTCGCGCAAGCAAGCGACCATTTCAGTAGAGGAAGGAACATCCTTGCGTCATTTGTTTCATGCCCGAAACAAGCTGGATTCAACTTGAGAAATCTTTTGAGGCACCCTTCAGGATATCATTTCTCCTCTTTGATGCGCATGGAGATATGAGGCAAGGAGACCAGGAAAATGTCTTTGCCTTTGGGCATTTGCCTGGTCGAGAATCCCATTGTTATCTCTCACATCTTAGTCTGATTTCCACACATGATATCGCCTCAAAAGCTCAGTGATGAAGTGGACCTGGGCATTTCTGTTCACGTTGCGCAGTTTAATTCGAGCGTCTGTGTCACCATCACAGCTGAGCAGCGTATGGGAGCAAATTCACACCCACGCCATGGCAAAAAACTATAGGTGGCTGTGAACCTGCCAGCTGCAATAGCGACAAGACCCTTAAATGTTAAACAACAAATCTGAAACATGTTTTACACATCTATCTTCACTCAGCATGCTCTTCGGCCATTCATATTGGGGCAGGTGCTCTTCCCTCGTCCACGCCGCAACCAGTACCAAAGAGTTCCACTCCTCACAGCTGAAACACATTGGAACATCTGCGCAGTTAGCAACTGTGGAACTCAGCCCTAGTAGCTTCTTGTTCCTAGTAGCAATGCCAGGAGCCCCTAGTAGCGTACTTGCTCTAAGGCCAGGAGCCTTTAGTAGCTTCTTGTTCCTAGTAAACCCACTTAATTACGCACAGTTGCTTTCCAATTTGAATTCATGATGTGCCAAATATTTTTTGTCGTTCCCTTTGGAACCTGTGCCGGCGGAATCCGAGATTCTCGAGGTTGTAGGTGTTGACCACCTCAGAGGGCTGCGTCTTTTCAACCTGGTGAACCGATGTAAATCAGTCCGCCGCTGGCATGGCCAAAGCTGTCACCTCAGGGGCTTTTGAAGCACATGACCTCCTTCACCAGAATCGTGGGACTAGACAAGATCAATCGGATCTTTCCGAAACGACTGTGAAGGTTCATGGTTCATGGTTTGAATGTTGGAAACAGGTCACGGATCACCAAAAATGGACGCTAAGCGTCAGGGTTTGCAACAATCCAAGATCCACCCACCCCTAGAAAATCCTAAAAAGCCGGAAGAATGAAAGTAGCTGACGCTACCTTTCATGACTTGAACACTGGCTTCAACAAACTTAAACGCTGTTTTCCAGAGATCAAAGACGCGGGCAATGTAGTAGATCAGCGGTCGCTGCTCCGATGGGATTGGATCCTGCAACGCAGCTAGCCGTATAGGGCCCTTCTGGGCCCTGGATGAGCACAACTTCGCATGCAAGAACGGCGCGGACCGTCGACGGGAGCATGCGGGAACTGAGGTCAATGCCATAGTCAAGCGCATTGCTTGCACATGCGGGTTGTAGCCCCGTGGGAAGTCCACACCAGCCCATTGGGCACCTGGCACGTGCCATGTTGCTTGCTACTAGCGATGGACTCCAACCTACTAGCGGCTCGGCCTCTCACTCCAAACTCTTGATTTCAGTGCCACCACCGGTGCTCTTCACAGTGGTGACCCGACGAAGTCATGAGATCGCAACACCTTTTTGGTGCTACTGCTGTTTCTCACACAGAAATTAGGTTTACTCAACGGTTCTCTAGGCGCCGCTAGCCGCCCTCCTAAGAAAAACACCCCAAATGCACCTTCATCTATAAGCTGCTCCAGCTCTTGGCGTCTTTGAGCAGGTACCTGTTGCAAAGCTATTTCAAAGCTCGGGGGGAAGTGAGCAGCGTCCGATTCAGATTCTTACTGACTCAAGTGTCGCAGGTTTTGTCAAGAGTTTCCAAGTGTGAGAGCACTTTCTGCCCCGTTTGATTTATTTTGGCCGATTTTGGCCTCTCTGTTCCCCTTTCTCCGAGTTGGTCTTTTCCTCATGGCATTCACCGGCGCAAGCAGCCAGCTTGTTGAAGAATCTCACGACAGTGCCTCTTTCTCTCCGAATCCCCTGGTCCCAAAAAGTCCAATGCATTGTCACCGTTCTCATCCACTGCATGTGGGTCCGCCATTGCTTGCAACAAGAGTCGACAAGCACTTCCTCTCGCTCGATTGGCGCCACACAAAAGTGGCGTTTCATGAAAATGGTTTCGAGAATTGGGATCAACCTGCCTCTCCAGCAAGAGCTTCATGATATCCAAATGCCCACCCCTCGCTGCCATATTTAACGCAGAGTTGCAGCCCTTGACTTGGACTTGTATGTCAGGAGGTGCCCGTCCCGCCAGTAAGGATTGAACCGCATCCATATCACCTGCATAAGCTGCATTCACCAAGCGAACGCCATCAGCCGATCGTGGTGACAAACCTTGCAGCTCGTCCATCTCAGGTGGGGCTTCAAAGGTCAACGAAACGCCTTCAGTCGGCCATGTCTTATACACTTGGCAAAGAGTCTCTCCCAGATGCTTCTTGGTCATGCGCAAACGCCAACCTGCAGGCAAGCCTTTCCCTGGGAGTGTAATTCTCATGCACATCGTTGCCGGGTCAAAATATTCCATATCCTTTCGCAAGTCTTGTACTGAGGTCCAGGTTACCTCCACTGCATCCATACCCAGTCAAGCTCTCGCTAAGCCATCGCTAGCTTCAAACAACAACCTCTCCTTCAGCCTGTCAGCCCAGTGACTCCAAAACTATTCGAGAATAGAAAGGTATGTTACAGTCAAGCCTATCCTATTACCAGTAGCAGTGGATGATGATGATTAGTAAAGGCCTTGTTCAAAAATAGTAATAATTGCTTACTGACTGTTACAGGTATTAGGACAGACCCAAACTATACTGAATAGAATGGCACGACGGTAAAACAACATGAAGCGAACTGTGAATTTCCTCATGTTAAATCACTGATTGCTTGAGCCGGCAACCACATCGCTGCGCATTGTCCATCCAAAACAATACTTGTATAACTGCTTGTCACGCTCGTCTGACAAGGCTGAGATGTGTGAAGGAATCTTGCCTCTGCAGGTGTGCAATGAAAAAAGGCCCACCTTGGACAAATCTCTGCCTCTTCCAGACCAAAATGCGCAGTGATAGGCTAGTAGGTTGGAGGCCACCGCCAGTAGAAACAAAGACAAAAGAAAAGGAATGAAAGGTCCAATAGTAGCTTCTTGTTCCTAGTAGCCCCTAGTAGCGTCCTTGTTCCTAGTAATTAGTACAGCCAGGAGCCCCGAGTAGCGTCCTTGCTCCTAATGATTTCTGATGATGAAAGGTATCACCAAGGCTCGGACGCCATCCATTCAGCTAAATTGCCCCTGCAGAGTTCAGCAACTTGCGCCGCCGGCCACCGACAGCCGGTCCGCCGGTCAAAAAACCTTAAAAGGCAATGACAACAAGAATTTGAATTCTTCTGCAGGTTGCATCACATTGCATCTGGCCATCTGCGCATGAATCTGTTTTTGTGCGCCTTGCTCCATTGGCTGGGCAGCTCTACAAGGCCAAAAGCAATTCAAACTACCGATGTCTTGGCTGCTGCAGCCTTGCCCTCTGCACTCCATTCAGGCAAATCATAAATTCCGCTGCAAACCTTAACAAAACCAACACCAAATGGACCGTTTGGGCCCACGTGACTGGCAAACATAAGAGCCTTTTTTGAGTAGAAATCGTTTAAGTGTCGAATCGTTGTGCTTGATCCAACCGTTTGACGCCAAGGGCACTTGAAATTGTGGTCCGCACTTGGCTTTGGTGCATCTTCGGCAGCTCGGATTAGCATCCCCCCCGCGGGCACATGGCCTTGGGCGGCCCACGCTGGCGACCAGGACCCAAACGGGAGGGCTCCAACTCTCGGGGCCTTGGAAGTTTGGTTTTTGGTGGTCCGCTTCGACACTTACTGAATGGCTAGACAGGGTCAAAAGGATTGATCGGCAGAGGCAAACAATTTGTAGCTGGAGCGATGCTGCACCCGCAAAGCTCATGACACGGTGACCCGCAGAATTTGAGCACGACTTACAGCTCTCAATGCCATCCCCCATCTAAAAAAAGCAGTGTGAAACCCCTCAGATGCATGCTGCATAATTGTTTAGATTTGGCGTCTTAACTGCCGCTTGCATCTCGCTGGTGTTTCTTATTGTTGCAATGCGCCAGAAGTCTTTTGGGCTTGATTTGGCTTGTTACATAAAACCGCACAAGCCTGTTTATCTTTCTATGTCTTTCCTTACATGGGAGGGGGGTATCTCATCATCTTGATCTTCTGCGGAAAACTATCTACCCTTTTGGAATCCAAAGGCTTCCAAAAGCTCCGCATCCTGCTTTGGGGTAGCAATGGTTTCGTACCTTGTTTGTCGCAAGCGACGGCGATGGATCTGGGTGTCATGGTTTTACCAGTTCCGCTGTTCCGCTGGTCATACCTTTAGCTCCCTGGGATCTCTTTTAAGCCTTTCGACCGTCCTCCTAGCAATATAAGTTACACGTGTCTCTGTTTTGTGGCTGTGGTATTTAATCTAGTGAACATTTTGAAAGGAAAAGGCCAGAATCTGGACTGGGGCCAGTGGCTTTTATGATCTTTTTCGGAGCCCCACGCGTGCTAGGCCGTGTGGATGGCGTTGAGTTGCTGGATTACACTTTGGGTTTAGAGCGTTCTGAAACATCCGGATCAAAGGTCGGACTGTAGAGTCGGATGAGTCGGATTGGAAAGTCATTCTCCCTTAAAAACATGAGCAAACAATTCCAATAGCTTTGTTTGAGCAAGCACACAATGTGGGGAAGGCTCAATTTCAGACTGGCCACATCCAGCACTTTGCGGCAGTGCAGCTCACCAAGCCTTTCCAAAAACTTTGAAACTGCATGTTCAAGGTCGAAACAACTCCGAAGCCATGTGGATCTGAGGAGCTCAGCCGTCCAACAAGGACGATGTCGTTTCAGTCAGCCCGGCCCCACCTCCAAAGCATTCGGAACAAGGCGGGCCTCAAGGCGCCCAAGTTGGAGAACAAACGCAAACGGGTAAAACTAGAGAACCCTATTAGATCCTAGTAGTAACAAGTGCCACGCTGGTAGTAACAAGTGCCTTACTAGTAGTAACAAGAAGCTATTAGATCTTGTTAGAAAGGAATAAAGGTCTAAAGAAGAACAAACAAAAACACCTACTAGCGATGGCCTCCAACCTGTTAGCGATGGCCTCCAACCTGCTAACGAAAAGAACCCTCTTAGCAATTTCATGCAATTTCTTTCGCCCCTCTTGATCCCTGTAAGTAAGAACCTTCCCCGTTAAGTCTAGATCTAGGAACCGAATCACTAAGGCTCAGGCTTCTTCAAGAATGCTGACGCCCTCAGGCGAGGGGAGCTTCCTTGAAGATGCCTGGGCACTTCTGCCTCCTTCCTTACTACTAGCAATTGCTCAAGCCTACTACGGCCTTCCCCCCCCGCACAAAAAGCAGCCGGGATTACAGGAATCTCGGACAAGTGTGGTGAAACCAGGAGCCCTGTGAAAGCAGTCTCTCCTTTCATGTGCGATTTCACAATCCAAAAGCTGATGCTGAGGACCCTGGCTGTATCCTCGCTTTGCCATGCACTTGGCTGCACAGGTGAGTCGTCCCATGCAACGCTGGCCGCAAACATCAATCTCCTGAACAATCACGCTCGGCCCTCCAGCTGGTTCGTCCACAACCCGTCACGTTCACGAGCTGCAACTATGTCTTTGCACTTGTTGATAGTTCGTCTGGTCCATTTCACTCATTCAGGCTTTAGGGCTCCTCGAGTCCATCTAGACACTCTCCCTCAATCCAGGATCCTTCAGAAGTACCAGCCTGATTGGTATTCTATAACCGAATGTAACCAGTTCTGCTGCTCTTGGGGATTGTATGTGACTGTGTGTGTGACCTATACAGCGTAAAGTACAATTGACACTTGCTTCCACACTTGGCACCTGCAGAAAAGCAGCGCGCCCTCCGCCCTTCCAATGTCTCAAGTCCTCGGAGCAATTCCGAAGCACGCTACGAATGGGGCTCCTGGCATCGCTACGAACGGAGCATTCTTACTACTAGTAACAAGAAGCTACGAGGAGGTCTTTGAAGCTACTAGTCGGAGCAAGGATGCTACTAGGGGCTCCTGGCCGTACTACTAGGAGCAAGAAGCTACTAGTAACAAGGGCATCGCTACTAGGAGCAAGGACGCTTGAGGCTCACTTGGCTTCTGGGCTGATGCATTTTGGCACGACTGTGTCGCATCCTGCCGGCTCAAGCTCACTAGCCAGGCCATCAAACAATGTTTGTTCGTGGTTGTTTGTAGTCCAACACCCAGCCGCCTAGTCTTCTAGTCTACTTTGCACAACCACGCCTTGGAGACCTTGGAGCCAAAAAGTCCACTTGCCTCCGCCAAATTGCAATCAGAATAGTAGGTTTTACAAGAGAACAGACCTAATGGCGATGGCCTCCAACCTATATACTAGCGGCGATGGGCTTCAAATGGTTTCAAACACTGATTGCAATCATAGTTGGACATGACTTGCCCTGGCCTGCCAGGCTAAAACGATGGCACCACCAAGCAGTGTTACCTCTGCCACGCGCCGGGGTGCGTCTATTTTTGAGAAGTCTTGTCGAGGCCTGTAGGAACCGATTGCTGCTAAAGCCCATCTTCCATGGCTGTGCCAACGCCGCAAGTTGAGAGTGAGAGTTGGGGAAGGCCCTCCACAAGCGTTTTAAGGTTGAGAGACAAACAATGTGAGGCATGCGTGGCGCGCCAGGAGTAGGGCTGAGTAGGGCAAAAAACTGATGCTCATTTGATGATAACTAATTGCAAGTTGTTGCGATTGAGCTTGCAAGCTAACATGACCTTCAAAGTCTGAGTGTCAGTTTGGCCATAGTCACAATGAAACGGCAGGAGCAGGTTAGTCAAAAAGGCAACAACACACAACAAGCATTTCCCATCCACTTGTTGAAGCAAAACATGTCAACTTTATGAAACATGCACAATCACTGTCTCAGCCCTGTCTGAAGTCAAGACCACCCGCTGATCTCAGCGTGTTTCAGCCTTGGGAAACGGTTCTTCCTTAGGGCTTTAGCGGCTTTGGCCTACAATCTAAAACTCTTAATGGCTGCATGATCGGCGACTGACAATGAATTTCTTGAGGCCTTGGGTCTCCGAAGCTTCTAATTGGTTCTAAAGTGAAACACACAGAATGTCTACTTTTAGCCTCAGCTCTGGGGAAGTCTAGGCATGCTGTCCTCATGGTTTCATCACAAAACACAACCCCAATCGCCGTCCAGAGGCCAACGGTGCATCCATTAAAGGTGTCTTTGTTTCTTACATCGCTCTTGGGTTGGAGGTTATTGCTCTTAGGTTGGAGGCCATTGGAGTCAGGCCATAGTGAGAATTCGTTTCTTTCTTAATGGTTTCTTTCGTACTCAGATCGGGCAGAGTCTCTCAGATCGGGACGCCAGCAGCTCCGCATCATCCATGGCACTCTCCATGGCCATTCGTTCCTGCTTCCATTTCAAAGTTTAAATGAGGAACCATAACGTAACAATGTCAAATGCTGAAACAGGTTGAGCCATAGGTTGTTGATGTAGGAACTATGAGCACAACAATGTCAGTTAGGTTGTGTTTCAACATGTTTCAACCCGTTCAGCTCGGCCGAGTCAGCCTTCTCGCTTAGCAGCACTGCTGGAGCGATGTTCTGCGAGGTGACTGCGGGCAGCTTGGATCGCACGAAAAACCATATCGAACTGTTTGGCCCTCGTAATTACTGCGACGGTTGATAGTACTGGGACTTGCTGAGATTCTGCTCAAACACCGCTTGTGCTGCACATGGTGAGGTGTGACAACTATATACAACATAGCCGATCGAACCCGCTGTTTTCTTACCATCGGAGTGGCATGTTAGGTTTGGTCCCTTCTCACACTGGGGAAAAAAGTTGCCCACGTCATGATGCAGTTTGATGGGGCCGTGGTCTTGTCAGTTTCCTCCCATTTTGCCTCTCCGTCTGCATCGAGCCTCTCTTTATGGAGTCCCACTCGCGCAGCAGCTGCTCCACATTGGATTCATTTCTCTTGGGATGCAAGGCCTCGCTCAAACTATGCGAAGCTGTCAAGCTACTGCCATCTGCTCTTCTCGCTGTTCTTATCTTTTCTCCTTTACGCTATGTTCCTCGTCTTTCTCTTTCTGCGTCTGCTCCCTCCACAGAATGCTAAAGATTGTGGCAAACTGGCAAGCTGGCCTCCTGAAAGTCTTGCATGCTTGCCTGCGTGGCACTTGCGCGACATGGGGTTTGCCTGCCCTTTCAATGCAAAATGGTTTGTCAAGCCTTGGGTGACAAGTGAGGTGTCATTATCTCACGAGAGCCTTAGAAACAGTTTGACTTTGCATTCGGCTCAGCCTTCAAGCATCTGAGCATCCTGCCAGCATCCTGCCTTCATGCAAACTTTAAAATCCTGAGCCTGGAACGAGACCCCTCCAGCAAGCGGCCGCAAGCCTATGTGAATGGCTCAGCTGAAATCAAAAGGCTGAAACTTAGCGCATGTGCCCAAACAAATCTACAGTAGAACCAAATCAGCCTGCCCTTTAAACAACATATTTCAATGTAAAATGTATATACTTCAGGTACAACAGCCGCGAATCAGCTTCAGGTACAACAGCCTGCCTGCCTGGATGTCTTGCGTTGCCTGGAACACCCTCCGTAGGACATCCTGACATTAATGAACCAAAGAGCACACAATACATAAGAATCAAAAGGAACAAAACAAACAGCAATAAAAGAATTGCATACAAACCTGACATCGCTCGCCCTTTCGAACTCGCATACGTCTCAAACCCCGTGCAAACCCTGCATGCTGCCAAGTCAGCTTGGGTGTCTGCATCAAGCTGGTTCAACACGGCTGCTGCAACACCAGATTTGCAGCCAGCGCGTTCCAACCCCATCACTGCTGCTTCACATGTTATGACCTTAGGCAACAGTTAACACTGCTCAAATACGACAGGCATGGTGAATGTTGTGTATGACTAAGCGGCATCTTTCTCCACAAAGTGTCGCTGCAAATTGTTCAACACGTTGATCGCATTCTTCCAGCTGGACAGGAAAAACCAACAAATCGAAAGCGCAATGAAAAATGGACAAAGGAAGGAACTGAATGTTTATGATCCCGAACCATACACTCACCTAGCAACGACAACATTTCAAAACACATGCACACCTTGCCACCCTGCCTGAAACAGCAAGAGCATGCGCTGACAACGGCGTTGCAGGTGAGAAGATCACATTGAAAACGACGGATCTCCATGAAGTGCATGAACATCAAGGCACTTTCCCATCGGCGGCCCTTCTCGCTGGCTAATATGACAGCATTGAAAGTCACACTGTTTGCACCAGATTGAGAGGTATGGGTGTGTAGCTGCGAAGGATCAGCATGTTTGGGTTGCTCAATCAATTCAAATAGATGCAGGGCTTCCTGCCATGCAACCGTTGCACAAGCACTGATAGCGGCACTGCAGGTCACCACAGAGGTCATGATCCGCAACGACCTGCCCACTGGAAGAACCAACCCGCTAGCATCAGGAACCTAATAGGAATGGCTTCCAAACTATTAGCGATGGCCTCCAACTTGACCACAGTCTAGTCAAGAACGGGACGGTATGTAGCGAGATGCCTAACCTTTTTTGGGTCGAGACTGAGCACTGTTCGCCCAGAATCTGACCACCCTTTGACGCGGCGATTTCATCCAACATGGGGTGGAAGGAAGCTATGGCAAAGTAGCTGGTAGGGAACAAATGGTTTTCTTGATGAAACTCATGACACCAGGTGCACGAGGAAATCGCATCTCACAAGGTATATTCGATGCACTCGGTGCAGGTGGTGCAGTCTGAGCTTTCAAAACACCGAATGCAACAATCCGCACCACAATGCAATAAAACTTTAACCTCTGAACCAAAGATTACTACTACTAGCTGCATGGTACAATGCCGAGTTCTAGTTCTAGTTGAATTATTCTCAATTGATGACATACTTTGCGAAACATGTTGCTACAGGTCGATTTGATACTATCAAGATGTCCAATTTCTTGTAGAAACTACCGATTGTCATGCTCACCTCCTTCACTGAAAGACAAGCAAATGTCACGAGGATCCTGCAACCTTAGCCACTGGAAGTGCCAGTATACTCCTAGGACTCACATAGACAAGAAAACATTTATATAAAAAAATAAGCTGGACTAAGTGGGAAAGGAAAACACCGTGCGCAACGGACACGCCAATGATGGAGTGCATTCATCCTTTGCGCAAAACAAAGGACTAAGAAAAGGGCCCAAAGAACAAATAACAAAAAACTGCATCCGCGCAGGTGCGCCTGAATCGTGTCAGCCGTGCCAAGGTCAAATCCCACAAGCCACCCTTCTCGCAAGAGCTGATTACAGCGTTGTTAGAAATGACGTCTTCCTGGCGCGGGACATGATGTCCTTTTGGGAAGAATGTAGGATTCAGCTTGGTGTTATATGGTACCACATACTTGTGTACAGTATACCGCCTGTTGTTTCTACACTTTGGAGGTATATCTTCTCTTTTTATCAGCCCACCAATTAGAATATACTAGAACCGCAGGCAGTCTATAGAATAGTACAAGGGGCCCAGAATCTGACTCCTTGCGTGGCCGCTTCTTTGTGTTCATGTGTTGTCAGCGGGTCTCAAAGTGAGCACTGTTAATAATGGTCTTGCCCTATTGCTATCCTTTGCCTGTCCTTTTCTGAATTGTGGCTTTTGTCCGCGCATCTCTCTCCATGTTTGCTAGTATTTGCTCCCTCTGCCACATGTTGCCCAAAATTTAGAGCAAGGGCCAAAAGCACTTCTATCAGGGCGCCACATTGATTTTCCAAGTACGACGTCAGAATGCCAACTTTCGAAACAGAATGCCACCAAATCTCCAGAAGTAAGAGATGGCTTTGAGATGCCTAGTCTTAGACGAGCTCAGGTATCGCGTGGGCTTTGCAACCAGCTAGGACGACCAACCCTAGCTGGAGGAAGCCAAACGGAAGGGAATAGATAGCAGTGGCAGCATCTAGTTTGATTAACTAGTGTAGCACTTCACAGAATTACAATTAACGGCCAACTGCCATGGCTTCAGGCTAAGTAAGGGCAATTCTCTTTGTACGTCTCTTTTTTCTCGTGTTTGTTAGCTGTTTTTCGTTGGACTCTTGGACCCTTCTTTCCTTCCATGTTTTCCTGTCGATGGTATATGTGCCGTCACGAACGGTAGGCAGCCCACCGTGAAAGATCTTCAAGCAGTAGTTTCAGAACATCCTTCTTAGTATGGCGGTGCCCGAAGGTGATGGGCGGTTTGGAACAGTGACCACGAGCTAAAAAACACGAGGAAGGAACACAAAGCACAAAAAGAACGACAAAAGAAAAGAACAAAAAAACATACAAACACAATCATCAACAACAAAACAACAACGAGAACAAGAAACAAACGTGCAGCATATTGCAACTGAAAGCACAAGGCAAAGGGTCCACAGTTGAGCTCAGGAACCAATGCCACCCTAGACAAAGCTAAGTAACCAACGCCCCGATCCGTCCCATGCGACAGCCACGGTTGAACGGCCCCAGACAGGGAGACACCACTCAAGAGCTCAATGTGAATGAACAATTTGTGAGAATCAATTAAGGATTCTGTCATGAAAACACCAAAGCAGCTGACTGAGAATCATCTCAAATCCACGAAGCAACGAAAGCAACGAAAGCAAGGTGAAGGGGGATGTTGATACGTCTTCTTGGGCGAAGACGGGGAACGCCGATATGTGTAACATTGTGTAACCTCCACGAGCTTCGCCTCCAAACTGAGCTGAGACATCGCATCCAAAAGGCGAACAGCTTGCAACCATTGTCCTCAAACTGAACAACTTGGCCAACTAGTAACATGAAGCTACTAGGAACAAAGGGAGGGCATCGCTACTAGGTTGGAGGCCATTACTACTAGTAACGAGAAGCTATTAGTAGCTAGTTACTAGTAGCTGGAAACACTGCCATCCCGAGAATGACACTGTCTTCCTTCACGTTTGCTGGGCGTGAAACTCACATCTTACACATCCTGCCTTGTTTTCCACACGCGCTCACAGCTGCATTGCTTGAAATCCTTGGTCAAAACAGGCTCTTCATTCAGAAAAATGACCGGCCCAGAATCTAGAACGACAAAGGCACACCTTGTATCACTATATGAGTTCACGTGGCGCGCAAAAGGTTTTATGCGTGGTGGAGTGGGGCAGGAGCGCCAGAATTTCATGACAACTAATCTTGTTAAACATGGTTCGGGAAAAAAAATGAAAAAACAAACCATGGAACTGCGGCTGCACTTGCATTGAAAAAATATCAAGCAAAACAACACGCCTTGATACCGTCGTGGCAAAGGCACAGCGAGGAGCTTACAAACTGTGCTTTTTGCAGCTCTTTGCGCAGCATGAGGTCAAAGGGTCGTTGGCGCGAGTGCGGAAAACAACGACAGGCAAAGTTGGTCCTTGTGTGCTCAGGTTGAAGACCATTGCCCTCAGGTTGGAGACCATGGCTCTTAGGTTGGAGGCCATTGACCTCAGGTTGGAGGCCATTGCTCTTAGGTTGGAGGCCAACGCTCTTGGGTTGGAGGCCATCGCTCTCA